CCAACATGGCACAAGTATACATATGTAACAAACCTGCACGTTATGCACATGTACCCTAGAACTTAAAGTATAATAATAATAATAAATAAATTAAAAAAAAAAAGAAAGCCTTTAAGCAAAGCAGGCAACAGCCAGTTCACTTCCATTCTTCCTACTTTCCTTTTGACCCTCCCCTCTGTCTTCAACATATAAAATAAATGTTATGTAGGTACATGAGTTTGAGACCAGCTGCATCCTTACAAATTACTCTGAAATAACTGTATCAGAAGTTTGTCATCAAGGTCATTATAAACTATGCGATTTTCATGAGTCCCTCTTAACTGACTCTCTCTCGCTTCTCGCCTACCTCCTTTAACCAGAGACACTGCCTTTTTTCACATAATTAGAGATACCTGGCAAAATTAAGTACAACCTTGGAAAGCTATGACGGGAAGTATATATTCTCCTTGCGGAAAGTAAAAGTGGATTAGGAGTAAAGACCTAGGTTCTAGTCTCTGTTTTCCAAATATCTCACAGAATAACCCTGAGCCAGTATTTTTATCTCTCTAGAGTTCAATTTATTTTTCTTATACAACATACAATGAGCAGATTTCAATTAGATAAACTCTGAACCTGTCCTATATTTTATATATCTATACAAACATTTATACTGAAATAGGCTTTTTCGGCAAGTATAAATTCTTGCTTTGGATGGGGTGCAGAAGGCAGAAGAGTGTGCTAGGGAAATAAGCCGACTTGGTAATTGAAAGGGAAAAGAGAAAGAATGAGAGAAGGGCCTGCCACTGAGGAGCATAGTCTGACAACAATGAAAAACAAACTTTATGATTTTACTTATGCTTACCTTCTACTAAGTGTATAAAAACAAATTATGGAGATGTGACTATCTAATGCACTATAATGAAAATACTCATCAGCACTGCTTCACAGGGTTTGTCAACTCTTATTTTTAAATATGGCCCATTCTGCTATAATGGAGTTTTGTTCTCAACTTATATATAAATTTGAGTATCAGTGTACTGTCTAAAGTCTTCCTAATCTTATTTGTTCCTTAAAGGAGATTTCAATAAGTGGAGATGGTAAAATCAAAAGAGGAAAATCCACAACAATGTCAATAACAAGAAGCAGCCCTCAAATAGCTAGAATGTATGTGGGGAGTGAGTGTCCCATTAGCAATAAAATGCTTTTTTAAAAAATAAAACAAAAAATGGCAAAGAGCGGATTATGAAGGACTTTGCAAGCAAGGGTCAAGGGCATGAACAGTATCCTGTGGACAATGAAAAGCCGTAAGAGATTTTTAAAACAGAGCGGGTGACTCTATCAAATCTGTGTTTTTGAAAAATAACACTCATGGCAGAGTACATACTATATTTACAAAATAAAGTATAAAATTATTATGTAGGCTGATATTTTACCACATGAAATTGGAATAAAACGCTCACTCATTGAAGCCATAAAATAAATTTCACAAATACTACAGTATTCTTAAAGAAATTAACAGGGGATTATGCCTTGCAAATTCCTTAGGTGAGTAAATAATCACTTTTTAAAAACTCTCTTTCTTAAGTTCTCACACTACACATGTATACCTTTTTCAAATAAAATTAACACTTTAAGTAATATTTATGGGCATTAGGGCCACGGAATTTTTAAATATTTACCTAACCATTTAGAAAGCACTTAGCATTAAAGGTACAGAAAAATATCTCACACACTAACTTATGCCTTTCAAAACCTTGCATTTACCTACTCAAACACAAAGCGATCTCACTGAAAAGCTGAAAATTGCACTGTAGAATATGCAATTAAAATGGCATAGAAATGTAGCCTGTTCAATTCTGCTCAAAGCTTCTATGCAGAAGACTAATTTTTTTTAACTTCCTATTAGTTTCTGCTGATTCTTGGCAGATAAGACTACAAACTCAGTGCTTCTTTCCATTAACCCACCAAAGCAGAACACCATCAACAGTAACTAGATTTGGGTTTCAAATCTCTAAATGCTTTGCCAAAAAAAAAAAAAACCCCTTAGTTAAGAACTGAACTGATACATATAGCATTTAAATCAAATATTATAAATCTAATTATAAAATCAAATGTTTTACAAACATGCCATTATTTTTCAACGCAGTAATATAACATTCCAAAAGTTAAAAATTACTTTACATATATTATTCTACAATTAAAAACATTTCTATTGATAGACGTTTAAGTGGCTTTCAAAGAGGTTAATAAAAATGTTTAAATTCTTAAGGAAATGAAAATGTGATAATTTTATTACCATCCTAAAAATGAACCCCCATATACTTTTTTAAAGTTCTATCCAAAATAAACAGGATATTTGCTCATCTTTTCCAATTACTATACTTGGAAAGCATAGGTTAGCAAGATCAACATTCAACATTTAAGTAAAACTGCAAGAATTACTGGTTTGTGACATCTTATTTATAGTTTTATTTCTACCTTACCAAAAGTGTAAACTAAAAGAATTTAATTTTAGAAATGGAAGGTATTATATAATTTAATTTTAGAATTAGAAGGTATTACAGAATTCATCTACTAGAATCCCTTAATTTGACAGTATACTAAGATTCAGAAAGGTTCACTGACTTTTCCAAAATTAAACAGTTAAGCCAAAACTCCTCAATCCTCTGCCTATGAATCCAGGACATTTTCCCCTATGTCAGGTCCTATCTAAAATCTTTTCATCTTCCTTCACTTTCTGAAACAAGAAAGTGTTTTTACCATTGTCATATACAACACTTTGAAAATTAGAAAAAATCTCCTGATCTTTTACTTCCATAAAAGTACTGATTTCCTCTCAAAATATTTAATATAATATATATGCAAACAAAAAGCACAAATCCACTGTTAGACTTCAGGAACAAGCATAAATAAAAATTCTTGTTATGACAGTATCTGCTAAGTTAAAAATACTCTTTTCTTGCAATGTCAAAATAGAATTATTTTGTAGACACTGAATATTAAGTAGGCATGTATAAACGCTGAACTATTCACATAGACTTTAAGTGTGCAAAAATGTTCCTATTAAAAGTAGAATGTGAATAAGGATTTTCTGCACTAAGAAAATACACCCTTTTTAGAAGCACAAATTGTATTTTCCTCTAATATAAACAATAATTGAAGCTACCTGGTACTTAACACTGCACCTAAAGGTTGAAAAAGGTTGCTGTGATGGAAAGAGCACCACACAAGGATTAAGAAGTCTAGAAATTTTCCACTTACAAAAGGACAGACCGAATTAACACCACCAACAAATTACAATTAAAATATGTTAAACTGTAACTGTTAAGTTCAGGAAAATTGCCCACAAAAGTGATGAAACTGCTAAAACAATTTTCCAGTGTTAAAAAATGCAATGTGTTCACATTTGGTCAAAATTCAAATATTAATTCCATTCTATGAAAATAGTTGATACTACTTTGTTCCATAATAAATCCTCTCAAAACAATTTTTCTTCCGACACACATTTTCCTAAAGTACTGTCTATTACCACTGGTAGTAAACTGAGAAAACAAAAGGTATAACAAAACTTTTTCAAGAGGTTGACCACAGAAGTGGCCTCTGAAGCCAACTCAAGAAGCAAAATATTGTGTCACTGGAACACTACAGATCAGTGTTCAACATGTCATAAAATCAATGTAGTAGTTTAGAAAATATTTCGAAGAGAAGACAGAGAAGAAGTGAAGGAAGAGAACAGAAAAGAAGAGAGAAGAATGCATCAAATGCATTAAGGACAAGAAACTTTTGTCTCCAACATATTGGCTCCCAGTGTAAAGCATATCACTAATCCAAAAATTCTGAAAACCTATGGTTACGCTCTTACTCTCCTACTTAAAACCACTATACTTACCAGTTAGTTGTGCAGAACACAGCATTGAAACCTGAAAAATCTAATCAAATCCCAGAACTACCACTTACTAGACATGTGAAGTTGCATTACTTCTATAAGCCTAGATGTCTCATCTCTAGAGGTTAATGGCACCAGCCAAACACCGTTCTTGTGAGGATTTGAGACAGTATGTGTAAAATGTTTTGCACTTCATAAATTCTCAATAATAGTAGCTATACTTATTGAGTTTCTTGTTGATGTAGAACAGGTAGGTTTTCCAATACTATATAAAGATGTAATCTCATTTCCTGATGATGATTTCAATCCCTTTAAAAAAATAAAACTATGTAAACCTATGGGGAAAAAATAGGTTTTTTTCTATTGGCATCTTTCCAGAAATTACCAAGTTTAAAGTTTAAACTGTTAAAACATTCTCCTAATTATGCAACAAATACAAAGAACACTGAATTAGTCCGTAAAAAATTATATTCACCTACACTGCTGTATTTTCATTTAAATTACTCTCATTTGCAAAGCTCATCACTGTTCTTCTAACGATAAAATCTCAGATTTTTCCTCTTGATTTTCAATAACGAAACCACACTGATTAAAACTCACAGACGTATCCTCTCATTCTAAAGGCTGTATGTTATCTTTGGGCAGGCATCACTATAACAGCAAACAGATAAATGGCACCAAAAAGATACACATCCGAGTATGCCAAAAGCGGGAGTAGTCAAATCTATTCAACCACAAATGATTCACCTCATTCTTCTGCGAACTCATCTATTGCATATACAATCCTTAAAAAGTGTCATGTGATTAGCGGGCTATTTGATTTCCATTCAATGACAAAAGGTACTTGCTTCTGCATTTTTAAAAGGCTTCCTGTATTTTAAGAATCCTTTCCAGAATAAAACATTGTTTCCGCCCCCTCCCCCCCGCCCCCCACACACACCCTTTTTCCATTCTGAAAGTTAACATGCTTTCAAATAAGCGAACTCAACTCGGAAACTGCAGCGGTAAACCCGAACCCTCTCACATCCCAGACCTCGCTTTCCAGCCAACATACCTGCTCTCTCGAAATACAAGGCAACGAAGGTCTCCTGAATATTTTGCAACTGCCGTAGTAACTGGCTGCAGTTTCTCCTAGCGACACGCAGCTGGACCTCCTCCGGGGTCGGATCACAGGCACTTTTTCTTCGGCGGCACTGGACAGCCGAGGATGAAGAGGCGCTTCCCTGATTTGAAAGAAGTGATCCAACGCCAGGGCCAGCAGGCAGCCAGCGCCCCCCACCAGGCCGGAGAGCAGCGGCCTGAGGGCGGAGGGCAGCGACCCGAGGCTGGTGAAGGAGACCCACCAGACGAAGCTGGCCAGGAGCAGCACCAGGAGGCAGTGCCGGAGCCGCAGAGGGTGCGCGAGCGTCAGCAGCAGCCCCACGCAGCTCAGCACCAGCAGCAACCTGCCGGCCGCCGCCTCCGGGGGCGTGTGCGTGGCCAGGGACCCTGCGTCGCCATCCCCCCAAGGCCAGGACCACCACTGCCACACCAAGAAGTCCCCCAGGTAACAGCAGGCGGGCAGCGCCAGCAGCCACCAGGAGCCGCCGCTCCGGCCCGGGCCGGGTCCCCGCTTGGTCCGGGTGAGGAAGCAGGTGAGGAAGAAGAAGGCACAGGCGATGCTAAAGAGGGGACTGAGGCTGTGCGAACACACGCTCAGCAGCGTCCGCAGCCAGGCGGCCCCGGCAGCCCAGCTCTCGGGTTCCGCGCCCAGCAGCAGGGCGAGGACAAAGGCAGCCAGGGCGCCCAGCGAGAGGCGCGCCCGGCAGAAGGGGGAGCCGCGCCGCGGCTGCTGGGGGGAGGCCGGCGGCGGCCGCAGCTCCACGTTGCAGAAGCGGCAGAGGTGGAAGAAGAAGCCGCGCGGAGGGTCCTGCCGCAAGGGGCTCACGCAACTCTTCACGTAGCCGTTCCTCAGACTCTCGGGGGGCGAGCCGGCCCCATCTGGCTGCTGCAGGGACCGCATGGCTTTGGCGTCTCGCTCGTCCCTCCTCATGGCTGAGGCCGGGGGTGGCCACGGGACTCAGCACACCCCGCTCCTACCGTAGCGGCCGCTCGCGTTCCCAGACCCCAGCCCCTGCGTTCG